CGCAAACCCCCCCCCCCCCCCCCCTCTAACATCTATCAAAACTTTTGATATACTAGTTCACATCCTTAAATAGGTCAATTTAATAAAATTTACATTGTAAAATCTTAAATGCGCTTATATATACTTTGAAATCCACCTGGCCCCCCTGCCGCCCAAAAATTCTAAATCATGATAAAAATCAATAAAACACAAATTAATAAATTCATTGACCTCTTCTAAATGGCTCATTATTTGGTCCTTATACTTCTTAAAAAGATCGATATCATCCAAATAATAGAATATGGCTTTAAAAATAATACTTTTTTCTTTGGTGGTTTATCAGATCGTATGGAATTATGCCATTGATAATGAAGTTTATGATATTTACATACCATGAAAGGTTCTTATCAGAAATGATGGCTTGCTCTTAAGGAAAACTATTATTAATTACAATAAGGGACTCCTCATAATTTTTCAACTCAAGCCAGATAAGTGGTCCGCTGCTTGATTTTTTGCACTTTTTCAATCGACAATCTCAATATCAAATTCTTGTAACAAGAGGAGCAATCAAATCAAATGGGGTTTGACATCCTTCTTAGCCACAATATATTTGTTAGCGGCATGGTCAATATACACTTTAACTTTGACACTAATCAGGTAGGACTTAAATTTATTGAATACATAAACTATCATCAGTAGCTCTTTCTTAGTAGTGATGTATAGTTCACTTTGGGGTTCAATAAGAGTTTTATTGGCATAGTATATTGTTGACCTCACTTTTGGCCAACACTGCCGCTACTGCATAGTCACTAATGTCAGACTTAAGCTCAAAGAAAATCTCCTAATCTGGTGCAACAATATCAAGTGTTGAGATTAACTTATTTTCAGGATTACAAAGATAATAAGATGGTTGTCATGGAAATTCAAGGGCATTTCCTTCCCTAACAAATGATACAGGGTTTTGAAAATTTTAAAGAAGTCCTTAATGTATCAAAGGAAAAAAGTTAACATGCCCTAAAAAGCTCCTAATCCATTTAATAAATGTACGTGGGTGAGGGCAGATTTTCTATCACATAAATTTCAGTTGAATCCACCTCCAACCCTTTATTCAAAACTTTATGCCCTAACATTATACACTCAGTTACCATGAATTGGCACTTCTCATAGTTTGGTACTAAGTTAGTCTCCTCACATCTTTGTAATACTTTTGTAAAGTTTTAAGACACGAATCAAAAGATAGATCAAACATGGAGAAGTCATCCATAAAGACGTCAATTCCTATTCCTATAAACTAAAAAAATGGACATCGTGCAATGCTAGAAAGTGGCTGAGCCATTGCATATCCTGAAGAGAATC